TACAGGTGTATAAAAGGACCAGTTTTTGGTCCTTGGAAGCAGAAATCCATCCATACCTGCTACTGTCTCCAAGTAATTCAGGTAAGAAATTGAATTACGCTATTACTGTTCTCTACAATCTTAGTGCAGAAGTATTTGGAAGAAAAGCACTATATATTTGAAAAATGCTAATATTTAAATAGGTTTGGTTTATATGTTGAACCTGAATTGTTACATAGAATAATTTGATTCCTCTAGTCTACAAACAAGTCTTTTATTGTAGCAGTCGACGAAAATCTAAAAAGTGCTTGAAGGACAGGCAAAGAACAAGCATCGTCTTGGGCATAAAATTAGTTTGGGATGGATTGGACCAGGACAAAAATATGATCTAGATTCTAGACTAGGCCCATGTATAGGCAGAGAAGTATTAGCTGTATGTCTAAACATTACTTTTTTATAAATTGCACACACAAAGTCTAGACTAATCATTTCAGATCCTAACTAGAAAAAAGCTACTAGTTAAAAATGGTACTGAAGATACAGAATTTTTGCATTTCTTCTGTGTTTGGTATAAAATCAGGAAGGCAAATTGGAAACACTGGGTTGTATTTTCTAGCCTTGTCATGAACATCCTGTGCAATGTTAAGTCATTAACTCCCTGTGCCCAGTGTCCTTACGCATGCAACTTTTACACACCTTGCAGAAATGTTTGGAGGATGAATTAATTCATTAGTAGAGTGCTTGGAGACCCTTGCATGGACAATGGGAAGGCAAAGTACTATTAGTGAATACATTACCGTTTTCTGGTTTCTAACTCTTCAGAGTCTAAGTAGATTAGGAAAGAAAGGTTGGTATCAGGGATCAAGTGCATTTACCATTAAACTCATTTTGTCAGTAGCTTCGTCACATTTGTTTGTGTTTTTCCATGTATTATGTTCTTGGTTTGTTAAGCAAAATGAATGGAATAATCACCTAAGGGAAGTGAGGGTGGTCCATGATATTAAGGCTTTGATCTGTGCCTTAAGTGCTGCTTAAATTCATCCTCATTCAGAAAAGCACTCAAACATATTATGATTTACTATTATTATGCTGATTTCTATCAGCTCAGCATCTGTCCCACTGAGTTGATGTGCTGCAGGTATAATTCATTCTTTGTGTCAATAAATAGCAGAATTAATGGTGGAAATGGATTTTTCCATTCCTACCGATAACTGAAAATGGCAAAGTGGGGAATCATCCATGATCCCACAAAACATCAATGAGAGCTGCGCCTCTGAAAATCAGGCTCAAAAGAAACCTTACCTTTAGCATCTCCTTTTCTTTTAAGCAGGCGTTCAGCTTGTCTGGGCAACCGAATGATGAAGACCACAGGATGCTTCTACCTGCTTGCGCTTTCATTTGTCTGTGGTGCGATCACCTTCTCAGAAGGCAGAAAGCTGCATTTTGGCATTTGTGAACTGAGTGGTGCATCTCTCCAGGAAATCAAAGCCTACTTTGATGCAATTAGAGAAGCTGTTGTAAGTATGGTTTACACTTACCAGTCAAAGGAAATTGTGAGGTTTGAATAACAGAAGACCAGTCAAAGCAGTGGCAAATGTTGACATCATCCAAAAACAGGTTCAGAGAGTGACCTTCCGGTGAATGGAATATCTCATTGGGCAATTCCCCTTTAAAGTTATAGGCATTTGCAGTTAACATTACTCACCTTTTCCTTGGGACGTTGCCAGTTATAGTAAAACAGATGCCCATGTATAACCCCTTTTGGTGCAATGTGGAGGCAATACAAAAAAAGGAACAGTTGCCCAAGCCATAATCTCAGATGCCCGACTATAAATCTAAGCTACCTATAGTAGAATAGGTATTCTTTCTTATTCCACCTTTGCATCCGGTATCCTCATTCAAATCATTGATCTTTCTTCTGTGATTGCAGCAAGATCAGGACCGCGTTACTGACACTGTATTGCTGAAGATGATCCTTCTGCATAACGTCCCGGTAAGCGCTGTGATTTGGCTAGAAAGTGTGGTGCTCCGATGGGGGAAGCTCTATGCGACCTGCTTCTTCAGCCTTCCCTCCCCTTGATCTGAATGTTGCTTCATCTACAAGCACTCTGTTTTCTCTTTGAACTTAACTTAAGCCTTTGACCCCCTTCTTGCTTCCCCTATGGGGACTTTCATGGACCTATCACTGCCTTTGTTCCCTTCATCATGTCTTTCACTTTTTTGTATGTGGAATCTCCTCCCCTCCCTAACTTTTACTTCTTCCCACAGCTTCTGCGTCTATAAGGCTTCCCTACCCACTTTCCCCCTTCTTCCAGCATATCCTGCCCCAGCTCCAGGGTGAGAGCAGTTCTGTCTCCTGCAATTCCATCTTTCTAAGACCATGTATTTCATGCTGTCTAAAGGTCTCATAAAAATGGCAGTTCAGCCTTAGGAACAGTTCCCTTTGGAAGACTCTTGGATGAAGAATAGTGTGTTAAGAGCAGATGAGAGCATCTGATTTAAACTGCACTTAGATCTGTTTCTTACCTTGTTTCCTGCTTTGTTCCTAGCTCCCTCCGGCCTCCGTGGGTGGCTCTCAGTCAGACATGCACCCCTGGTCCAACCTCACAGTCATGGGTACAGCAAGGAGGATTTTTATCCAGCAACAGTTGCAATAATCTCATTGACAGGACCATGCCAGTGAGATTATTCTTTTCTCAGTTCAATATGGGTGCGAATACAATGGAAATAATTATGGAAGATTTGTGTGGCAAATCAGGGCTTCTTGGAAGGGAAAACTTATAGAGTTAGATGTGCGCATTATACAGAATCGCCTTCATTTTCCAGATGGACTGTATAAATGTGCCCTCTTCTGAATATTCGCAGTTAGTTCAGGTACATACAGGTTATTTTGGCTGTGCTATATGCTTCATGCCCTTTCTTCTTCTCTCAGGTACTGGAGAGCTGCTGCTTACTCCGCCACCTGGTGAGGCTCTACGTTGAAAACGTTTTCAGACATTACCCAGCCACAAACCCCCTGCTGCGGAGGAAAACCAGCAGCCTGTCGAACTCTTTCCTCAGCCTTAAGACCACCCTGAGACAGTGTGTAAGTGCCCTAGGGAAGCGAGGCGCTGGCAGCTTGACAGGGTGGAGTTCAGCGGCTACGGGAGCCGAGCGTGACGTATGTTATAGAAGAAACGCTGAATAGAATAACACTGAAGCTTTTGTGTATTGGAGATGGCATAATGGGTGCTACTAGGTCATGAAGCATGAAAGGGTAGATCTCAGTCTAGATCCTGGTGGGAACTTGTGGGAAATGCACCACCATGCCTGCTGCTAGTTTCCCCTTCTCTCTAAGCAAAAGCCAAAAGGCTGAGCAACTTTTCTCCTTCTGCAAGCCCAAATCAGGGCAATACAGAATAGTCTGTGCTATAGATGAGTCCTGCTTAGCTCTGGAGGAGGAACTCCTCTCTCCAGGGCTCTCCTAAATCCACTTCCCAGACTAAGCAATAAGCATATTTGGTTTATTTTGCCCACTAGTTCTAACTGTGGGGTTTTTTTGCATTCTCTTTGCCCAGCATGATCAAAAGAAGTGCACCTGTGGGGCGGAGGCAAACCGTCGACTTGAGCTCATCAGAGAGGAATACAAAAAGGTAACTTGGTGGGTGAGATGCTCCCAGCCATCAACCACCCAGAAAGTTTCCCCTCCTAGCTGGTGGGGGAGAAAATGGCCCACTCTCTGGTTTCTTTGTATTTCTGGGAGGCCCCTCTTAAAGCAGGACTCTGTTGCATCAGGTGCTGCACAGAAACGGAGGAGTTATTTTCCCAAGAGTCTATTTAGGCAAAGCCAATGAAGTGTAGGCAGAGAAATGGAGGAAAAATAATTGACCAAAGTGACTAAGCTGGCACTGGGTAGGACTCTGACCACTGGGCATCCCTTCCAGCCCTACTGCTCTACGAATACAACAATGGAATAGCCCGTTGCTTGTTCAACTTGGCTGTTTTCAGTAGTTCTAGACTTCAGCGTAAACCCTTCAAAGCACCGTGGCTAGGGACACAAATTACCCATAAACTGGTTCAAATCTGCAACATAACAGAAGTTCAGTGCATGTAACCCACTTTCAACATGGCTGAAACTGGTTTAAGATAAACCTAGATGGATGCAGTATCAGAGTTAACTAGTTTAGGTTAAACTGGTTGATTGAACTTCTATCTCAGATCCCCTCCAGATTCAAGTTAACTCTCAGTCGCTCAGCATCCGAGGGTGCTTTGCACCTGGCCTGCAGCCCCCCACTTTCAGGGTGGGTGGGCTAGCCCTGGTCCAAACTGTCTGCTCTGAACTGATTCAGCCTCAGGCTTTTTGACTGTACTTAGCCCATGTGTTTGGATGTGGCCTTTATAATTGAGCTCTGGCTCTTAGATCACCAAAGCATGTTGGCAAATTTTACCCATTGGTCCTAAAGATCAGTATTTACAAATGCTACAGTCTTCCTTCATATTATATTTAGGAAACAGCTGTATTGACTGCATGGCACCAGCTGGCAAAGCCGGACTTGTTATGGTGATTCCAGCTTATAAGAGACAGAGAAAATGAATGGAAAACTCAAATCAAAAAGATCCAAGCTTGAAATGTCTTGATAGATGACATTTATTGCATAAACAACACCAAATCAAGATGGCCTTTTATACAGCCTTTCTGAAGGCACTAACACCACTTCTGTTTTCCTTCTTTAGATGGATAGAGAAGCAGCAGCCATCAAAGCTCTGGGTGAGATGGACATTCTCTTTAACTGGATGGAAAAGGCTAAGAACTAAGAGAAAGGACAGAAACTAGAGCAAAGCCTTTTTTTTTTTTAATGTTTTAATTTATTTGAATTGTTTACATATTCTTTTCTGCTTGTTGTTTGCAATGTTGTGGGAAAACTCAGCCCGTGGTGTAAATCAGTGTAGCTACACTGAGTCTCGGGGAGTCGAAGTCTTTTACCCCAGCTGAAAAGCTGGCCCTTACAGAGCATGTTGCTTACAGAGGCCTGGTGTCTGTACAGCTCCGGGAGGCATCCTGCAAGATGCTGATCTCTTGAACATCAAAGTGGCTCCATGTTGCTTTCCTTTGAGACAGCGGTGTAGCCAAAACTGGCCTAATCCCAGAGTTATAAGCTCTTGCTACTTTGCAGCACAAAACCTAGGACTAGGGCAGAAACAGGCTGTTTTTTAAAATCTCATATGGCTGCACTTCCAACATTTATTGTTAATGATGGCCTTGCATCAGAGTTTGGAGCTGGATTAATTCATGAGCATCCCTTGTTTCTATTTGATTGCAATGCATACTTGGTAGCTGTGGGTACTGAGATGAGAGTCACAGTAAAAAGAAAAAAAGCTAGAATCTTCACCCACCCCCGCATTCGAATTGAATCCATTGAACATTTCTGCTAAAAAAAACAAAATTGCGGATAACTTTTAAAATTTGCCCCTGTGGCACCATAATATCATAAGAACCACTCTTCCAAAAGCATTTCCAGTTTGTCTAGTGGTGAGAGGTCCCTTAAATCTCTCAAAAGCCTCTTTCACTTCCAGTCTGACCTCTTTTGAATTCTTAGAGAGGTGGTTAGCTGTGTTGGTCTGAAACCATGCAAAAAGCAGGGCAGGGTGACACTTTCAAGACTAAATTGTTCAGAGAGGCATGAGATTTCATAGGCAACTGCCTGCTTCATCAGATGCTTAAAACCATTGCATTCCTAAATATCTCACTGAGTTGAATGCGACAACCTCTCTGAGTGAGGCGATGCTCACGTTTTCCAGTTTGCTTAGTCTCCTTTCACTTAATCCTGTGCAAACCCAGAACAACCCCATTGTAGCAGAGGATGTCACAAGGCTATACAACTGGAGTGAAATCCTGGTTCCATGCAAGTCGAATGCAAGTTCCCATGTTGGCTTCAAATGCGGCCAGCATTTTATTCCAAGTGTAAGCCAGACGAGATCAGTCCCAGTGTTACACCAACTTGGATAAGCCTTCATCCAACCTAACACCTTGTGAAGTTCTCAGTTCTCTGGCGCAGGCTTTGGCAACTAGAGCTTATCAGACACCAACAGGCTGGCTGGTAAAAAATATAGCCATTAAAAATAGTTTTCCCTTTTTTTAACATTCATCCTTGCAAAGGACTTTGAGATCCTCTATTGAAGTTGCTGTGCAAGTTCCAAAGGCTATTTATTTTAAATACGCTCTATTTATAAACTAATTTAAAAGTATTTATAGTCAAGAGAATATTTAATAACTGTCTGTCTTCTATGATAAGTGGCACAACTGTATTGCCGGTAAGTACATATTGTACAAGCTGCTGTTGTCAGGTGTAAAGACAATGTTTGTTTTTGCAGTTCTCACGTTGTTTAATTCTGTATTTAAATATGTGGTCAGAGCTGTTTTGTTTTTCTTTCTCAGCTAATAAAATTTTAACCGCTAACTTAAAAAGCAAATGTGGGTAACTTCTTTCCTTAGACGGTGTTTAAAGGAAGCACAGCATCTAGGAAGGGGGAGGAGTTCTCTGTCTGCAGGAGGGAGAGGATTTAGCTATAATATAAAGGGAGTCTTTAATGAGGCCAGACAGAGACAGGACCTGTGGTCCTCTTCTACTCTCCTACTAACACAGCCATTCTCCCTATTGTTAATGCAGCAGGGTTACGTGGGGTCCTGGGCTAAATTCAAAAATCATAAAGGGAGAGGTAAATACCCCGTGAGAGCCTCTAGAAAGCAGCCTGGGGTGTATCTGCTGTTTGGACAGTGGCAGCAAAAGTTTCCTCCATGGTTCGAGAGGGACATACTCCAGGGCTGTGATAATTGGCTAGGGCCTGAATCTAATCTGTCTCAAATAAATCTACCAATAATCCAAAACTTCACTGAAGTCAATGGAGTTACACTAGTATAAGGAACGTGAACTCCTACATTGGCCGCCTGCATAGGGGAAAACTTCACATGCACGGAACAACTGTTTAGAAGAAAATGTTGCCTCTATCTATGCACTAAAACTTGCCAGTTTTGGTACCCGTCAGTATACTGACATTGAGCAAGATCTAAGGAAAAAACTAGGACATAACTTCCAGGTGGTATGTGTTCGTTTGATGGCTGATGCGTCTATTGGGTTGATGACTGGGGAGCGTTTCACATGTCCATAATTGGGTATACAGCTCTCCTGAGTCAACTGTGTGCTGATTCAATTCACCAGGCACTTGGGGACCTGTGAAAGACCAGAGATAACAGATGGTACATAAAAAAAACTGACTTATTTATCGCATTGTCTATAAAGCAGTAGGTCTAATAGGAATAGATTTGATCTTTGGGGTGCTTGGGTTTTAAGGCCCAGACTGGGCCTGATTTCTACCAATGCTGAGCTGACCCCAAACTCAGTCTGAAGTCAGGAGAAGTATGGCATTCTGGACATCAGGGGAAAATCAGGCCCAAGTAATTGAAAGCCGAACATCTGGAAGCCCAAAATTAAAGAACACTTGGAAATTGGATGGACAGTCTTTTCCGGAAAATAAGTTCATGACCTGATGACTGAAAAGCTTGAGACATTCAGGCCAAAAATAAAATGCAATTTTTAACAGTGAGGGCAATGAACTATTGGAACAGCTCTACAAGCAGTGTGGTAGATACTATATCAGTTTAAGTTTTTAAATGTTGATTGAGATGCTTTTGTAAAAGATAGAAAATGAATGCTTAGGGTCCATCACAATGTAGGGGACTTCATATCCTAATGAACGAGTAGACCTCTTGGGAGTTCAGAGGACGACCAGAGTTTTCCAAGGTATTTATTTGCCTAATTATGCAGATTGATGCCTAAGGGATTTACAAAAGTACCTTAGCGTATTAGGTGACTAACTAAAATGGGATTTAGGTGACTAGGCATCTAGCAGGACTGTTAGCAACCTTTATGTCATGGCAAACCTGGTATTAAATGGTTTTAGCGGTGCCTTCTGATTTAAAACTATATTGGCTAAATACAGCCTCGTAGAAGTCAATGGACAAAGCTCCCAGCTGTAGTGAAGGAAATTTCCCATGCTGAATCTATTCAAAAGAGGCTTACACTTTTTTATGACATTATTGACACCAGTGCAAGAACTTTATGAAACTCTCCCCCTCTGCTCTCGGGGAAAGCTGTGGGGAGCCAGGCCACAAGACTATAGTAAGAACTCACTTGGAAAGAATGAACTGAAAACATGCAAGTCGAACATTTGCCCAAATGCCCAGATTACAGTTGGCACCTTGTCCTAGGTTAAGACCTGGTATGGGTATTTCCAATGCACCTGGGGCCTTTTGCAGACAGTAGGAGGAAATGTGGGGCGTTAATGTTTTGTGTGTATGTTTGTGGGAAGTAAAACCTGTGGTTGGACAGGAACCAGTGATCTAACTTCTATGGCCTCTGTATAGGCCCATTTTGTTTGCCAGAAACCACACTGAATATTTATTTCCTGGTCAGCATCTGGGCATGGGTTGACAGAAGAGGGAGTGGAAGCTTGCCAGTTAGAGGTGGGGTTTTCGGGATCTGGCGGAAGGTGCCAGGACAGGTTTTTCCAGACGCCGGGGACCAGGATGGTAGGCAGCATTGCAATCGAGCTTAGTGGGCAGAGTTTCTAAGCTGGAAGTTTAAATTGAGATCTGGCCAAAGACTTGTCCTGTGCCTGAAAGCACCCCAGAGAAACTTTCAGGGTGAATATTCATGGGTCACTAATTGGTAGTAATTAAGTGAGAGTTCCTTCACCAAATCAGGAGTGACTAGGTTTCCAAGGAGCACTTCCATCCTTGCCGGTCGGCACCCCTTTCTAGCTAGGGTGTGATGGCACCGCCACAGCCCTAGCTCCAGAAGGCTGAATTTAAACCCTGCCCTGGACTTGTGCTGAAGACTGTCCTCAGTCAACGTGACCATATACGTGAGCTCCTTGGCAGTCAGGCTGGGAAGTCAAAAGCAGCCAGCCATTAGTCTAGCCCTGCTGCTCCCTTGAGTGCCTTTGCCTAAAGAAGACTAAGAAGTCCTTTTTTAAATACGTAGGGGGTAATAAGAAGGTACTGGGTAATGTGGGGCACCTGCAAGACACGGTAGGAAATTTGGTCGTCAAACCAGACGACAAAGCTAACAAGTTTAAGGACTTCTTTGCCTCCATTTTCCTGAGCAGGGACCAGATCAGCCCCCCCACCGGGCTCCCCTCAGGCCCCAGGGGAGGTGCACCCAGGCCAAGGGTCAGGGAGGATCTAGTCAGGGAACGTCTGGCAGGACTGGATGTATTTAAATCAGCGGGTCCAGACAATCTCCACCCCCGAGTGCTGAGGGAATTGGCTGCGGTGATTGCGGGACCCCTGGCACGGCCGTACGAGCACTCGTGGTGCTCTGGTGTGGTGCCAGAGGACTGGAAGAGGGCCAGTGTGGTTCCCATCTTCAAAAAGGGGAGGAAGGAGGACCCGGGAACTATAGGCCAGTTAGTCTTACTTTGATCCTGGGGAAGCTTTTTTGAGAGAGTTATCCTGGCGCATGTCTGCGAGGGGCCGGCTGGGGAGATTATGCTCAGGGGCAACCAACACAGGCTCATTAGCGGCAGGTCCTGTCAGACCAACCTGGTGCCTTCTACGCCCAGGTCACCAAATCCTTAGACGCAGGGGTAGCAGTGGACATCATCTTTCTGGACTTTAGGAAGGTCTTCGACACTGTCTCTCACCCCGTTCTCATTAAGAAACTGGGGGCTGTGGTGTCGACACCCACACCGTCAATTGCGGTCGCCAACTGGCTGGAGGCCGCACCCAGAGAGCGGTGGTGGACGGGTCACGTTCG